AAAAAAAAAAAAAAAAAAGTGAATCCCTACCTACCGACCCTAATTTTTTCTGGACTGTAATAGGAAACACAACATTTATTTTGTTAGGCCTAAAAGGGAAATAGACCGACACTAGGAAGCGGCCATTTTGTGTGACCTTGAGGATGATGACTTACCCTTTTACAACAATGGAAATTTGCAATCAATCTAGCTCCTTTCTAAAGGGGGATTCAACTTATAAATGTTAAATTATAACAATTTAGATCATATTTACTATCATTTACTGGTCATCTCCTTGGTGCTGAAATGCTATCACTTGAAATATCACCTGCATAAATCAAACAGGTTAGTACTGGTAACATTGGAGCTGTTCTGGTATTCACATGTATGTATTTAAATGTATAGCAGGGCTCAAAATTCGTTTTTGGGGATAGGCGCACTGGTGTATCCAACTTAATCAATTGGGTGCACAAAATAGAACGTTAGCCAAACCTAATAATATTTTCATTTCTAAAGAAAAGTACTGATACTAAAACAATTTTATCATTTTTATGACACTTAGATATTAAAAATATGCTGTATACTACTATTCATTTAACATCTTTACATATACATGTAAACCAGGATAGTGAGTGAGTGAGTGATGTGTAGTATACATGTACATAAACCTACGAAAGTATTTGGGTGCACTAAGGAGCACATGCACCCAGTATTTTGAGCCCTGTATAGTAATCTAGGATCCAATTCCTTTTTTGTTAAAGCTAATGACTGCTTACTGATTGGCCAAACAATGTGATTAATTCGTTCCTACCTGCACCCAATTCTTTTCTGTAGTTTCCGTGGTTTACATATGTAAAAATGTTAAATGTATAGTACAAATGTAGTATACAGCATATTATTAACATCTAAATTTCAGAAAAATAATAAAACCATTTACAGTTACAGTACTTTTCTTTAGCAATAAAACATTAAGTTCTTGCTGACATTCTACTTATTTTATCCTATATAGTGCACCCCCCAAAATTTTCTGCACCAGTGCACCTATTCCCCTGCCAAAAAAGAGTGTCGAGCCCTGTACATGTATAGTAATCTTAGTAGGATCCAATTCCATTCCTATTGCTGATGACTGCTTACAGATTGGCAAAAGAATGTGATTAATCTGTTCCTACCTGCTGTACAGAACTCGACTGTTTCGCTCCAGTCCGACACCCTGTACTCGCCGTCAGGCATCTTGCACGCCGTCTGCACCGACACCGTGTAGTTTGTCCGCGGCTGCAGGAACCAGTGACCTTTGACCGTGAACGGCAGCGGGATCGCCTTGGCGACCAGTTTGGTGGGAACATCCTTGTGCTTGAAGGCCTTCTTGGCGTTGTTGACGTTGGCTTTCTTGTTGAGGTCGATGAAGAAGTGGGTGACGTGGTCCTTGGGGTCCATGGACCACTGGATCTTGAAGGAGTCACACGTGATGTGGGACAGTTTGACGTCACACGGTGTGCTCAGGCCCTGGGCATCTGAAACAACAGGGGAATCAGCATTAGCATTTTTATCTAAACCTACAAGTGACCAGAGCTCTAGCCAGCATCCATTTTTCCATCAATTGCAGGAACTTTGTGACGTGTGACGGAAAATTTTTAAACCAGTGTCTGTTAAACTTGATGGACAAAACTGACAAAAATTTTGGGAAAAAATATAAAAACATTCAATTTTTAGGACCACCAACAACCACTCTCAACCCCATTATTAGCTTCTCAAAATGTAAAATATCGCATTTTCAAAGGTTTGAAAAATCAAAAATTTGCCCCCAGACTCCCAAAGTTGGGAGTACTTTCCCCCCAGGTCTGATCATGAACCTGTGCTGAAGGAAAAACATATTGAGCTGGCTAGAGCCATACATGTGACGTCTAACATTCTAACATGATCTGGCCACTCTGGAAGAATGCCTCAAAAGAGATCTCATATGCAATATCCTCCAGCAAAATGCACTCTGGTATATCTGAAGAGATCTCCAATGGAATATCCGCCGGTAAAATGCACTCTTCTATATCTGTTACCGTGCATACCTTGGGGATACTGCACGATATAGCTAGATGACTCTCAAATACACTGTATTTCAACTGTTTAAGTTGTGGATATAATTGTATTACCTAGTAAATTAATGGTAATGAAGGTTATGTACATAATACTCCGACTAAGTACAGTAGGTTTTTATTTCAGACAGCAAGCTATAGAAGGGATATTTAAAAAAAATCCTAAATATTTTATTCATTATCATGATAATAATGTCACGATAACTTGCGTTATCATTTTCTTCTACAATACATGACTGTATGTTCAAACAATTGAATATCTGAGTTGCCAGCATCATACAAAAATGGCAAAATATATAGTTGAGCATGTAGCAGTGGAAAACCTTTTCCAAACATCATGCTGCCCAAGCTATGGGGGTGAGTGATAGTAATAACATTTAGTTTATATTCTATTTTGGAGAGATTAAGCTTGGGTGACATTTGGTGAAAATACCACAAACCTCAGCAGTCCCTCAGGTATACAGTAGATGAGTACAGGAAAAACATTAGTTTATATCAGGAGTATTTAGGAGAGCTTGGGCAACATGGTGAAATTGTGCATATCAAATACCACAAACCTCAACAGTCACCTCAGGTATACAGTCCATAACTAAATTATTTTGAGATAAGACAGAGCAGACCCGGCATGACTCTTGCTTTAAGTCCGTGGTTGCCCCTGGTTACCATCTCCTGCCATCGTAATTGAATCAAGGACTGTGTCGGTGTGCCTCTCCTGCTTACTAATTTGATAAGGAAGGGAATAGAAAGTAGATACCATCTGGTCCAGTATTAATCATAATTAGGAGGGTTTTGAGTAGGTGTAGGAAATATGAGGTCAGGGAGTTAAGAAGGATAAAGCGCTGACGCTTAGCTGGAAATGTATTGTACTCAATACCACATGGTTTATCAGATTTCCTCCCTGAAAAATTATATTTGGGCCAAGCCACTGGGCATATTCTTTGAGTACTGTGAAAAAAAAATCAATACCTGTTGACTGAAAAAAAAATGATGGAAAAAAAATGCATCAAAGATGTGTCCATGTAAAAATGTGGTATCAATTAACATTGTGCGTTTCAAAATTCAATGTTAATTCCTACATTGAATGCAATCAATGTATGGGAGATATAGAACACATTCTAACTGAGATGCAACTGAAATTTAACTACATGCAAAATGGGATGGTACAGTTCCTTTACGAATCAAATTCGAAACTCTGAAAAACGCTTTATTGGAAAAACAAAAACATCTTTACAATGACTCAATATATGGCTCTATACTTAATGAACTATAATTAGAAATCATATACTGTTGCTTGAGTAACTGCTTTTTGGAATAATTATAATTACATTTCCAACCTCTACTCCCTTCTGGTGGAATGTTTAGAAATAGAAATGACAGTGCCACATGTACCACGTATATCTACAGTCTGACACATTGATTCTGTATGCATGTCACACTGACAGCTGGCAGTCTGCTCCCTGTTTGCGTTTACCTTTCTCATTTGTTTTGGTTGAGGCAGCAGGTCGCACTGAAAGCACCTGTCTGCTTCTTCATTCGTTACGCAGCTGGATTCTGTTATGCAAACATCCGAATAGTTTACTCCTCTTGAAGAGGTTTATATTATAATACTACCAGTAAATATACACTGTTACTGTCATAAATCCACATTTGAAAGTACAAAAACTGTAAAATTGTCCACTGATATGCTGGCTACTCCTTCTACAATCGTTTTTTTCTTAACATATTTTTATGACTGATACTTGGCAGTAGTATGGAAAAATGGCAGTGTGTTACATTACATCAGGCAAACCACACCCCTTCACTCCAAGCAAATGTGTTTAGTGAAGATCCATGCTAGTGCAACGCATGGGCTTGTAATATTAATCTCTCAGCAACACATCCTGGTATATAATGTACATCATGTTTATAGCCCATTGGATCCAAAACATTCCAACCATATAACACTGCGTGTGCCTTAAGCTCAGGTTTAGGTATTCTGAGAACATCCAACTGAGGCCCTGAGCAGGGCAAACTGAACATTTTACAGCTTCTGATACATCACTTTGAGGTTTCCCTGCAGGATAGCAAGATTCAGATGCTGATGTCCCGTACTCTTAAGCTTATAAAAGCATTACATGTCAGTGTTCGAAATACCTGCCTGCAGTCTGCAATCTGCAGATAGATTTTCAAGATTGCAGAAGAAAAAATTATACAATCTGCAATTTTGCAGAAGGAAAAATAGGCTCCAGATTCATTAGCTTTCAGTTTAGCAAACTAAAACTTCCAGGCCCCAGGGACAGACTGTTCTGAAACAACAGGAGCTTCTTCACTAATTTGCATCATCCTTGTCTTGACTTGTCTAACTTTTGTTTCCTTTTGGACTTCCAAAAAATTGTCTTCACTAATTTGCATATCAATCCATAGTTCATGCTTATAAACCTGAAATTCTCCTGCAGTCTAGTAATGCTACTGTACAGATTTACAAAGCTATATATGATGTAAAAAGGAATTACTGTTTTGAGAAGGTTGTAGTATGGAGGCTTGTGTATTTGCAGAAAGGTTGTAATATGGAGGCTTGTGTATTTGCAGAAAGTATTTCCAAATTGCAGAACAAAATTTTGACTCTTCTGCAATATTGCAGAGTACTGAAAAAAAGTATTTCGACCACTGCATGTACTTTTCCAAATGTCAGTGTTGCTGCGTATGTCTGGCCATTAGTTTGAGCAGGAAAGTCACCTGGATGAGGCTCTGAGCCTGCTAATGGGATTCAGTGACAGGTGGGAAACGCTTGTGCATACATGGTGTGTTACCTTACAAATCACCCAGCACAAACACTGATGTAGACGTAGGCAGACTTCTTGTCGTGTACCCTACTAGTTAGTACATCAGGGCTCAAAATACTTCTTTATGCATACCTGTACAACAGACAGTAAACCGTATAGAGACTGAGAGAGAGAGAGAGAGAGAGAGAGAGAGAGAGAGAGAGAGAGAGAGAGAGAGAGAGAGAGAGAGAGAGAGAGAAATATTTAGTACTGTTAACCTATACTATTCATATTTTTCCCTTTTAGTGAATAACAGACTGTAGTGCCCTTTTGAATTTTGTCATCTGCTATATATTATTTAGAGGATGCTACTCCAAACAATGTATGACATTTAAAGCCTGAGTGAGTGTTATTCTAGAGTTGCAGGTAGGTTTTATAAATGAGCCTGTAGGTTAGCAGAGGTTCAAAAGCACATAATATACACAGTTAAACATACATCTCAGTCAGTTACTGTCTTTAACAGCCCTGCATATATATCTAGAGGGCTGGTGGTTTTTCAGACTTCATATGGCAACTGCATTTGGATTTACGTGACGACTTCAACAGGACCCTTGTACCCTTGATTGACCTGTGCATTCCATTCCCATGGGAGAAGAGCCAATTTCTACAAATGAAATATCCCATCCCCCAACACCGGCACGTTTTACTGACTTCATCCATCAAGGTACCTCGTGGCAATAATGCACAAATTTACAACGGATTTGCAAGTTTCTGACATTACATTAAAGTTGAGAAATGTTTTTGCCTGTCATGCAATATCAATTAGTGTTTTAGGTAATATCAAATAAAACATGAAACACATCAGACCACAAACAAATTAGATTAACTGTTGGTAATGAAACGTGAAAAATGAAATTCACAATAATTAAATTATTCCTATAGAAAATGTCATGGTCATATTCTTTTACTAGCACTAGTACCTGAAACCGTTCTACTCTTGAATTGTAAAAGACTTCAAGTTGCAGTATCATTTTACACCAACCATAAAATAATAAATCATTGATTTTTTGTTCTCAAACCCTAGCAGCTTAGGGCAAATCAGATTAAAACCTTTATTAATACAAAATTTATGCACAGAGAACCTTTTGAGGTGAGGAAATCTAATCAGAAAGGCTTCCCTGGGGTGAGGTATTGATTCATTGCTTGTTTGTGTGCTGGCCTTTACCACAGACATATGACTGTGTGTTCTTCAGCCATTGGACTTCACACCTTGAGGCTCTCTGAGGGTTTTCTCTAATATTGTTCTCAAAATTACAGTTTTTAAAACATTGTTGGTGTACAAAAATATACAGATCAACATGTTCATATGCCTGACAGATGAAACACAATTGTACCAGGAATACTAGAGCTACACAATTTTAAGTACAGGTACAGGTAGCTTAATAGATCTAGAGGTACATGTACCTACATAACATTGCCATTGGCCAGTCATTTGTAACTTGTAAGTTAGATTTCAATATACAATTTGTAGCCAACTGTCTTTTTTATGAATTGGTAAATTTTTGTCCTGGTATGTACATGTGTTATAATCTAAAATCATTGGTCGTGTTTACAACACAATTGCAAGTTTTCGAGTTTGAAACACTTGCTTATAGAAGAAAAATCACCATCTTAGAGATGCAATTTACATATCTTTAGTGCCCGCCATAGCTGTTTTATGCTACTCACAGTGTTCAGGTATGTATACACCAGATGTTCAGGTCCAGACCTGTACCCCTACCAGACTAATAATTCTACAGGTACAGGTGTTGGGTACACACTCGGAGAGATAACAATAGACAGGTGTAAAGGTCACATTCTACATACTTTACTTTTAACTTAAGCACTGGAATGTATGCAACATCATGCGCAATCTTAGGTTTTAAAAGCTTAAAAAGGTTTCACTCTTTCCATGTCCTCTCAGTAGTATGTAGTTTATTACTTAAGTGTCTAGTACCACAGTATAAAGAAACAGCTTAGCAAACAGCAAAACATTAATGAGTAGTTCCTTGAATGTGAATTTAAGCCTTAACTTAAGCTTGTCACAGTTTGAAATGTATGCCAATATGTGCACCACATCATTCCCATTTACTAATTGACAAAAAAAAAGATCCCTTTCTTCATTCCCTTATTCATGAATAAACGTTTATCAGTCATTTAAGAGAAGTAGTGTTTAAGCAAACATGGCAAGTCAACAGACAGGCATTCCGATTGTGCATGTTTGATCTTTCTCTCCCCTTGCCATTGCCGTGACTATAATACAATTAAAGGACTCAGTAGGGTCTGGTTGAAGGCTTTGATATGGACACATATACTGATAATATCTTGTGATAAGGTCTTGCTCTTGAGGCAAAAAACAATCTAGCACAGAACAGTACAGGTCCTTTAATGGTTGCTATCAAATTGCATGGCAATTTCGGTCACTACTACTGGCTTGCACTGTTACAGTACATGTAAGCCACCTTACTTTGTGTTGTGGTCAGCTGGTTTAATCATAGGTCAGTGCAGGCCTGCAACAGTAACATGCACATGCAGGTGGTCAAAATTCCAGCCCTGTAAAAAAATGACTGTCACAATAAAAACGAAAAAAAAAACCTACTACTAACTACTAGTAGTAAATTTGACTATGTAAAGCACTTAAATTACCAATCTGACACAATTTCAAAGACCATCAATAATAGTTCTTTACCCCAATGACCTTTCAGGTTGAGGGAATTCTATCAATCAATTATGGCAAATGGAGTGTGCAACTCGAGCTTCCTGTAAGTAATAAGCCAGCTCCATTTCCTGCTTGGGGGGTTCCTATTGCGGCCAGAAGTGCTGCATAGATACCTAGTAATTACCTGCATATGTATATCTGTACACTCAGGTAAACATATCTGTATCTGCTTATTCATCGTCTGTTTTGTTTACTTTTACATATTGCTGTCTATGACTATGTGAATTTTGTTGCTGTGTTTTTTGTGTTGGGGAGGGCAACCTGTAAAGGTGCGTATGCACCTGTTTTGCCTAATAAACAATAATTATGTTACAGGTAATATAGGTACATCTGGTGTACATGTACATATATACAGATCCATACGTGATGTTTTCAATAATTCGCATGAGAATTCGTACCCTTAATGTCAGCCCATATTTTTGCTTTTGTGGATGCTGACTGCTGAACATGGTGCTCAGACTGTGATCAATAATAGAACGCCCCCCCCCCTCCCCGACATGTTCGTACTTGTATACTGCCCACAGATATGAAATATTGATCCAGGATTGGATATCAATGTATCATGCAACGCACCGAATGTCCTTGGAATCCCGTGGTAAGGTAACAATCATGGTGTGGAGGTGAATCTTTGTGATATTGGATTCGATGAGAATCCCTGTACATCAGATATGTGCATATAGATATGCTACTATCTTCCTATTACAGCAATGTTAACTGTGGCATGATCTTTATTGAAAGCAAGCAAAGAGATTTGCCTCCTAGAAACTAGTACTAGAAACCATCATCAGAATTTTCTTGGCAGTATAGCCTATACCAAAATCAGCACGGGTTTTAAGCTTTGAAATGTATATCATGGCTATCCAGTGCGCTTTTAAGGTTTGAGAGAACCTGTACATATAAAGTGGGGCCTGATGAGGGCATGTTTGCAATATATATGGAAGTCACGTAATGTCTAAAATGTAGAAATTAGGCACTAAAGTCTGTTACAGCTAACTTACTTAAACTTAAAAAAGAGACAGAGCTGGTTGCATATATATGGATTGCAACGTCATACAAGGAAGGAAGTGGTTTTATATATGGATTGCAATGTCATACAAGGAAGGAAGACATATCTGCCTGATAGTTGGGTGGTCACCGGAACATGAAAATAAAACTACTGCAAAAATTTCATGATTTATAGTACTTTATTTCACCAGAAATGGTCCCTAGGGATAAAGCAAGGTGTCAAAACATCTGCTCTATACAGGCTGAATCCAAAGCCACATGTGACTGACCAAGGGTAACAAGGGCAAACGAATGAGAAAAACATTACAGCATTCCTGTATGTATTCCTGGGTACCTTCTGCTAGCCTCTATGGACAAACACAGAAAATGGAGAAATTTAAGATTCTAGATTCAAGGGGCACAAAAATAAGTATAAGTTATGTTTCTTATTCTTGTAAACCAGAAATGGAAGGCAAAAAAAAAATTGTTAATACTGTGCAGTTAAATGTCCAATACGGAGGTTTGTGGATTCAATCTTATGTCACCTCTGGGTTCCACAATCAGAGAATTAATTGTCTTTTCTGCTAACATCTGTGTCCATAATATCACCAGGGTCCATAATATCGCCACCTTGAGAAACAGTGTGCTTAAAGATATTTTTACTGCAACATCCTTTTGGTATGCACTCCTTCACACATCAAATGTACATACCTAGGGTATGTTGCACACTATTAACTAATTAAGCACACTATTTCTCAAGGTGGCAATATTATGGACCCTGGTGATATTATGGACAAAGATGTTACATCATGATGTACAGAAAAATACCCTTAAAATACTGGTTTGTGTCCTTTTTTTCCGGCACATGCAAATTTTGCCAGTACACCTAACACCTAGGTTATGTACCTGTAATCCTACCTAACCAGGTCAATTGCCAGGTGCATCACTTCAAGGTGTCACTGAAGGGGCAGGCACACCTTATCAAATTGCGGCATGATTGGCTATAAATAAGGGTTTTAGGGGTGGCAAATGGATGATAAAATGTTCACCCAACCCCCATTCATATCCTTTCTAGACCATGTAACCTCTTTCGATTTAGCTGTACCCCAACAGCAGGTGGTTATACAGTTCTAACGCCCCACCCCCCTCCCCAACAAGCAAGCAAAAATATACAGTACAGAACATCTGTCAAAATAGGATCTAAAAATTCACTTGCATCGTTGAATCCATATGTATTCCTGAAATCTGCATGTATTGTTGAGATATGCATGTATTGTTGAAATCTACATGTACATAATTATGTATAATTTGTAGAAATTATAAACCAGTATGTTACATCTGTCAAAACGGGACTCAACCAGAATCTGAAAATTCACACGTATCTACATGTAGTTATTAGGTGCATTGTTGCTTGGTTGAATGTATTGCTGAAATCTGCATATATTGTGGAGATCTACATGTATTTTTGAGATCTACACGTATGCAATTTATGTAATTTGTTGAAATGAGCACGTACCACCCTGTAGCTGCACAGCTGAGAGCTCCTCGGTAGCATCCGCAACGCTGACCGGCCGGTCCCGGCTTTTGGGCGGGACCTGGGGAGGTATCTTCCGCCCACCGCTCGCTCCTGCTCCGGTACTCATGTTTCCTACCAGCGATCGGTGTGTCTAGAGCAGCCTCGGTGCGTACAAGGCTTCTGGTACTTTCAGTAGGTGCAAAGGTGGGATTTGAGCCGCTGAGAAGACGAATCCCTGCCCCGGGACAGAAGCTCACCGCCCCCGCTCGTCTTTCGGGACGTGTACGTTGCCACTAATTCGATCCAGCTAGCCGTACACAGACACCACCACCAGATCTCGTGACCCCTTTGGGAACGTAACAGGTTGGTTGGTTTGGCGCAGGCGTTACCAGTTACCAAAGCCGTGTTTCTAACCGACCTTTAGCACCGTTTGGTGAACCCTGTTGGGTCAAATATTTCGATGCCTGTCGTGGGTTTGGCAAACACTCAGTCCGAAGTTCATCCTATCACTTTCACTGGCCATGAAAAATGATTCGAGTTGTGCGGGCTTTCCACATATGGTCAGTATTGTATCACTCCGCCCAAACTCCGCCCACTGGCTCAGTGATGAGGTGTATAAAACACACACAATTCTTAATTTCTCACAAATTTGTTTCTCCACACCAATTTGGTAAGGATGAACCTCCTTGGTATTGCCGAAGAACAATCTCGCCCAGCGGACGATTACATGCAACGTTGCTTCACCTCATAGATTGGGTCAAACCATTGTGATTAAAACATGCGGGGGTGCCCTGATGGTGCAATATATATAAGGGACAACGTGAGCATCATATCATATCTACAATAGGGTTGAATTTCGTAAACAAGTTACATAAATAATATGTACATGCACTGTGCCATGCACTTGTGTATTTTTCACATGCCAACTGTATCTGATCAAGGGCGTTCTTGCCGATCTGATCTGGTCCATTAATTCAGCACACCAGCGCTATCTGGCGACAATAAAGAACGCTACATCCGAATTCAGAAGTGTATGAGACAATCTGAACACTTTTCCTACCTGTTGTCCTGTGAGAATCATGCTATTCCAGCTTACACAGCTCCACTACATCGATATTTATCCCCACATTCTGCCCGACCGTGCGTTTACAAGTGTGTGTCTGTCCTTGGTGCTGAATGGCGTTCGGATTGTATTTACATTCAACCAAGGAGATTGCCAAACACCATAGCAGCTATACTTGGCATCCAAAAAATTTAGTTGCCCAATCGGGCAAGTACAGAGGGATATTCACTTGCCCGAACAGTACTTTTACTTGCCCTGGGCAAGTGGGCAATGGGACTTGTCCAACCCTGGGTAGACATTGGTATTTTCAATGTCAGCGTTTCAGGACGCAAGTACTAGTAACAGGAAGGTCTGTTAATGATTCACAGTCTGACAGAAACAGGTTTTTTTTGTAGCAAATTTAATATTCCACTGGAAAATGTAAAGGGGTTATCCACTGAATATTGTGTTGTTGTGTACAGTTTATTATACATTCAAAGACAAAGATAACAGCGTTCAACTGACATTACTTACATCTACAAGCCCTACATTGTACTAAGCAGTTGCATGTACAGATTGAAATACAGGCATTGCGTAGTGTATGCAATAAGAAAACAGAATTATGAAATATGCATAATGTATAATATGAAAACAGGATCCAAATTTCAAATAGTCATTACAGGTCTCTTCAACTTCAGGAGCCTACAGACTTTATTACATGTAGGGTGTTGCTCTCTCCAGAAAGCCTGGATGCCTCTATCGCCTAGGTTACCCCTCCCGTACTTCTTTATCTCCTCAGAATGAATCTGAGGGTCGGTGAAGTAAGTCACACCCCTCCCGTCCAGAGTGGTCCAGCCCTGTATGTCTACTATCATCAACTTTTCTCCCGAAGCTTCGTAAGTGAAGTGAGTGAAGGCAGTCGCAAGCCCGCTGTCCAGAACTGGGTGTCTGTACTTCAGATTGTTCGTAAGCTTCACAAAATCCCCATCAATGTACGGCTCAACGTTGATGGTGAAGCTCTCTGGTTGGGAATGATTCACTTGAACTTGAAGGGTGACAGCTGGAAGGTACTGGATCTGGCCAAAGTCTTGACGTCTTCGAAGCTTGTGGTTGAAGACAGTAACGTACTTGCGGGCTGTCATCTGGCAGCAGACGTCTTGGCGATACTGTTCATACGGTTTGTCCTTCTTGTATCTCTTTCCAACATACCTACAAATAAAATGGATACCAGAAAATGTAATGCTGTGTTAGAGTGTACTATAGAGTCAGAGAACAGTTTCATTGTTTCATAGTGTCCAGTTTTTACCCAATATTTTCACTTAAAGTTCCTTGTTTAAAGTTAAAACTTTAGATCAAACACTAGGAAGTTCTCTCACCTAGAGCTTTTGACCAGTCACTCTGGTCTTCCTCAGTAGACTGACCCAGTGAGGTGAGAGAACTTTTGGATCTAAAATTTAAACATGTAACTGAATACAGATGAACTTTCATGATAGCACTTTGTACCTGCCCATACGTTCCTCCTGGCTGATGTACTGGACAAAGAAAGCGTCTCTCTGCTTCCCCTTCTTGTCCTCATCAAGTGCAAGGGGATCTCCTAGGTACACCAAGGTCTGCTCTGACTCCCACTTGTCATTGAAGGGGTCATACTTGTGGAGTAAAGCCTCTGAAAAAAGAGGAGCAAAAATTAGCCAGGAACCTTAAACCACAAGGTGACTTTTTTGGCATAAAGAGAGAGAGAGAAAACATCAACAATCAATCAGAAATTACTAGATAATGTTCTGAATACATGTATCATGGCATTTTGAAAGTAGTCTGCATTACTTGCACTAAAACATGTTTTTCATTCATTTTGCTATAGAACTTACTATGGACTCTCGTGACTGGTGGCAAGCCTGCATACATCTCGTCCCATTTCTCCCGCTCTTCATCTGACATTCTCTCTTCACATCTGCCCTCACTAACATCAGGGCCTGAATGGGTGTCACCTTTCCCAACACCATCTTTTTCATCGGACTCGTGTGCCACATCAACAGTTGTAGCTGAAGGGTCGAACGTTGAACCAAGCGTGGTCAAGGCAGGATTCACAGTAGAAGGTTCTATGTGATGTTTCTCGACAGCATAACGTAGCTGGTCAACTGGAGGCTGTAGTTTTGTCTTTGTTTCATCGACTGTAACGGCTGATGGATCAACGGTGGAAGCTGTGTGTAAGTTTTTGTTAGGAATGTTTTCTCCAATGGAATCAGTGTCTTCTGAGTCAATGGTTGTGGCAGAGGGATCTGCAGTAGATTTGGTGTGGTCTTGTCTGCTTTCATCACTGGATCTGTCTTGATCATCTTCAGTTGTGTCAAACCCGCTGTCAAGTGTCCCAGAGTTTTTTCCCGTTTCTTCAACTGTAATGTTCCATTCGGTTGTAGCTTCTTCAGTCTGTGACTTAGGGTTGTTGTCTTCTTCAGGCTGTGTTTGTGATATGAGGTCTTCAGGCACAATGTGGTCAATTGACATAGAATAAGACAGTGTTGTCTCTTTTGCTGACACAGTGTGGTCACCTTCAACTGTTTCTTGTGGTTGTGATGTGGGCATCAATGTTTCTAGTGCATCCATGATAAAGTCTATCTTCTTTTTCATCGATCCACTGATAGATGAGTTGCTGTCCTCAGCACAGTACTCTTCATACAGGTGCATGCAGATCTTGGTCAGGTTGTTGCTCTTTTCCACTGCACCAGTTATCTCTAGTACCTGACAGGACTGGAACAGGGCACAGATGAACTCACACAACTGTTCCCTGCTCCTCTGGAGGGCTGCCACACTTTCATGGGCATGTAGGCTTTCAGACAGGTTTGTCCTTGCTAACTGCAGAAACTTCTGTTTCTCTTGAGCGTCTCGCGCCTGCTGAGCACATAGGATGAGCACCTCACCAGCTCTGCGCTATACAGGGAGTTCAACAATGACACAAGTTAGGAACAGACCAGGATCGATCGCAGACAGTTCTAATTTGTTTACCTAATTATGTATTTGAATTCACCACAAGAGGAAGGGAGGGAAAAACAGGTGTAGAAACACCTTTGCAAGTTGCCCTCCCAGAGCAACTTCCTAAAACATTGTTCTGACACCCCTACATTCTGACATGAGCTGTCCGAACATACTACATGTATTTTAGGTAGTCGTCAGAACATAGGCGTGTTACTGGATGGGTCAGTGGATAAGAATGTCAGAAGCATAAACTTAAGCTACACAAGAAATACAAGAATGGCAGCTTAGGTTATTATAGTTTTTAGTTACTAAGCCAGCATGAAATATAATGGAAAATACACATACCCGATGTCTTGCATAGAAGAGTGGGTCAAACTTCGACAAATGAGCAGCCTCCTCAGCTGCTTGGTAAGCCTCTAAGAGAGGGCTGTCTGCTTGTAGGGTGTACTGCTGCTTCAAAACCTGGAAGTCTGCGAAGTTATAATGTCAAAACAGTTTGAGCAAAATACATTTTCAGCAATGTAAAGTGATTTGTTGTGTTTGCATCCAGACCTTTAGTTTTGTGTTGTTAATTTCCCAAATATCTGTTACTGTTAGCATCTATTCACATTCAGTAAATTATTTCTTTTAGAAATGAAATCATATTATGCAACATTGTTATTAAGTTTTCCACCAGCATAACAGAAAGTAACGTTTTAGCTAGCTACCTTTAATTTTCTTACTCAAGTTTACACGACCTGGTCACTTGATACTAGGTGTTACTAAGCCATCAGCAAGTGCTAAAAGGAGCTCATTTGCAGGAAATGTTCAGGAATGTTACAAAGTGTCTTTCAGTGTTCTAAGGAAAGATGCTGTAACCGTTACCTCTGTATGATATGTTTTTGAACACATCCATAAGCAGTCCCACACTAGAGGCGATGCCCTTCTTGTCTGGTTTGGGCAGAGTTCTGAAGCCGATGATGGAGTCCAAAATCAAGGTGGAGGCATCAAACCACTGCCCTGCAAGAACCACACAGTTATGTGTATGTTCATTGAGAATAATGTTGTTGAATAAACAGCGGCCTACACAAATTTTGACATTGAAATGACCACATGAACCAGAATACATACAATCATACATATCTGGGCTTTGAATGTTTTGAATATTGTGCTCAGGCAGCTATATTCAGACAAAGGGCTTACTGTAAGGTGGCATGTACATATGTAAGTTGAGTTGCCTGAATGTACTAGCATATGGGTTATTTTGCCAACAAACAACATAGTATGAGTCAGTTGGAAGATCTTGGGCAAGTTTTAGCCTGTGAAACCCAATCTCCGGGGGTTCCCTACATAGTCCACCACCCAGCAAAAAGTGAGGTTCAGTCAGGCCAGGTAAATTTTGTCTCTCACCAAGTTTCAGCTGGACCTGTCCTTTGATCTGAATGCAGACGGAATGAACTATTGCTCTGTCAGAGTCACTTTTGTATGTCCATGTTCCTGAAATACAAAGGGAAAGATGTGATTACAATCTTAATCCTTATCATGAAAGTTCACCTGTGTTGGTACAAGTCATTATGAAGTTAAAGCTTAGTCTTTATTTCATAATCTTAATCCTTGCTATAAAGGACCATGGACAATCCAAACAATTAGATATTATGATTGGTTAAGGACATACTTCAAAATATTACTAGCAATGATGTTGAAAACCACCGGTATGCTATGGTAGACCAGCAATGATGTTGAAAAACTAAGCGCTAAACTGACCAGTTTCCTCGTCAGGGCTTAGAACATCGTCCAGAACTCTCTCTGCACCGTGAAGATCCCCTGCATTTGTCAACACTCTGGCTTTACGGATGATAATCTGAGGATTTCAAGATTATATGGGACATTTAACAAAAGCACTTCATTAAGCCATAATAGAGACAGCTGACAAGTTGCTAAACAAGTTACAGTTGAGAAAAGTTTGGTTAATGTCATCATTCGTATATGAAAGGACATTTTTCATGTGTGTGAAGTTTTGTTGAAAAAATTCAGAATCTGTAGAATTGCTACTGTACAATTACAAAAACACAGTTTAAGTGTTATAATGTTACAGTACTGGTAATTGTGAGATCTGCAAAAATAAATCCACTACAAATATTTCAATACTTACAGTTCTTTGAAACTATTCATCAAGATGACTTGTCTTGATTTTTCTAATTTTATGCTTTATTTCTTAACTAACAAAATACCACAACCCTTGCACTACATAAGCTGGGTTTTGTGAATAAATTTATTGTACCTGTGGCGGCACAGCTGTGCTTGGACTGCTCTGACGGATGTCATCGATGATTTGAAGCAGACGAGGGGACGTGCCCTGCCAGAAGGCAAATCTGTCCAACAGGAACAGGATAGCAACAGCACGAGGGTAGTTCTCACACTCTACTGCCAGGTCTGCACATTCCTGTAGAAAGGGACATGGGGTGGTTAAATTTTATGAATATTTATATTTTATTCATTGGTTACAGGTTTGTACTCCCAACTTGTACTCAACCCCCATGAATATAATATATATAAGTAGCCTAAATGGCCAAATGGGGTGATCTATCTATAGATACATATCGAGTATAAATAAAGGCACAAACAAACAAACAAACAAACAGGTAGAGTGGGTGGATAGTATGTGGTTACAGTTGATTGACAGGGAGGTCAAGCCTGAAGGTGACCCAACATGCATCGGGTGGGAGTAAGTGGTAGTGGAGTAGTGGTGGGGTAGTGGTGGAGTGTGTGTAACAGTACCTGATTGAATTACATGTACATCACACAATCCCCTCCTGGAATGGTTTCATGATAACATTAACTATACATGCATGAAAAAACCAAAACACTTCCCAGAGTAGTCTGGGTGCCATCCTATTTGTATGCCAGGGCTCCCATACTCCCCCTTAAGAATACATGTATATGATATAATAATCAAAACCAGGATAAGGAAGGAGGAGGAATCATAAGGAAGGGGAGTATGGGAGCCCCAGCATACAAATAGGATGGCACCCAGACTATTTCCAGAGGTATGAAATCTCTGATTTCTTGTTTTGAATTTGCATCTCTCACCCAGAGTATGTCTGCCTGGGTGTTGCCAGGCCTGTGTGTACTTGGTGCAGTGATGAGGTCCTTTACGTTGTACAGGTCCTGTTCCCCGACCCTGTCCTCAAACTGCCACGTCTCAGGGATGAAGGACCAGCTCTGAGCCTCGGCATCGCTGAGAAGGCCCTGCAGTTCTACTGATAACAGTCCTGTGGAGATAAAATTTATGTTTTCAATTTCAGTAGCTTATGGTAGTACATTGTATACGTAGTTGCTTGTAGTACATTGCTCTACTAGCAGAGGCTAATAGGCTTCGGCTTATTGTTGGCTTGTTTTTATCGGGCTTTGTTTTTTGTACAGGTATACTTTTTTACACCAGTCTAACACATGGATGGCAATAGCCGTGGACGACTCATGCAAAAAGGTTACCAGAGTCGTCCACGGCTAGGATGGCAAATGGTATTACTGTCAGGCAAATGGATACTGCTACTGCACTCACTCTTTGCAGCCACCAAAAGATCTGCTTGGAGATTAGTAGTGGAGACTTGCTTTATTTCTTACAATATTCCTTGCAAATTGCAATGTGTGAAAACAATGTTGTTATGGCATACATATGGAAGGGTGCCTATTACTTCCATACTATCAGTTCATACTATCAGTTCCATACTATACTATCATAATAAGTTAATTAACATACCCAAGTTGCAGGAGAGTCTCTGCTCAATGTCACCATCATACTTTTCCTGCTCCATCTCCTGTCAACTATTAGCAAAGAGAAGTCGCCTATCATTCAACGAACGTATCCCAGGAGGTTTATAATGTTATACAGCCATGCAGTGTCTTCCGTGTATGACGTAATTTTTTCACATGACTATCACGCGCTCGAGGCAGGTAAAACATTACCCAGAACACACCCATGCAGCTCAGACGAAAGTTTCGGGTAGTAATTTGATACGGTTGCATCATGTATGACACCGTCCTTCTCGGAAACCCCTAACCTTTACCCTTTCACCCGGACTGCCATATATGGTATGATGACGTAGCCGCCAGCCAATCGCTGGCCGGGAAAAAAGTTCGGGGACTTCCCCTGTTACGTCACGCCCTGCAAAGGGGAAAACCAGGGCCGAAAACGAAAACAGGCGGATTCAGGACCAGTGAAAGCACGGTGCTGCCAAGCCGAACAAAGGTGAACTTCTTGGTTTTGACAGGTAAGTCTTTGCGTTGTGGCTGACCTAAGTAATAAGAGAGCCTGCTGCAGAGTGCCGAAGATGCATGCTGTACGACATTATTGTTCTCAGCAAGCTAACGTTAGACTCAGACCCTAACCCCCCCCCCTCCCTCAACCCACAATTTCCTTGGAAACATGTTTCCTGGGAGGCTCTTCCTGAAGCCTAAAGTGCCCCCGTCAGGCCAATATGCGAGGATTTAGTTGTCATTCTAGCTTAGACTCAACGATTTTTGGCGGCGCCTCTGGGGCAAGCCTATTGTAAAAGAAAACATGGGCATGTTAGATTCCACACGTACAGGCTTTGTAGCTTGACGATAGTGAAAGAAGAGTTGCTAACACAATATTCTTGAGAGTACTTTGTTAATTTGTGTCTAATGGTGCTGCCTTTGTTGTTACCTGCAGGCAGCCATGATGTCTTCCTCGCCACCTGAACCCGGGACTGTAGATACTGAGAGAGACACAGTGGACGGGGAAGGTGAGTGAGACCTTGGCCTGTTTCCCTAATAACCATCCTTGTTATTTCCCTAGTTGGTGCATAAAAGTGTACTAGGCTCCTGAAAGTATGTAGTGGGTCCCCCCGGTGCATATGTGGAATATATGGAACATATATGCTATTAATTATGTTGGTGATGTGTTGGTCATGAAACCATCAGAAAGCTCCCCAAAGTAAGCTAATAATTCTGTTGTGTTTATTGTTTAGAATATATTTAAAAAATGGTCATGAATGATCAATCCTGCAGCAGATTTAAAAAAAAAAGATTTTGGGTTCCCGTAGCATCTGTATCTGTATCTGTATAGCTGGTATAACTGCCTTGCAGCATAACACACCAGCTTCACAGGCACGCAGCGCGGCGGCAGCTGGCTAAGCCTGTTTCATAGACTAGCACCTGTGAGTCAAGAAGAAGACCTGTAAAATCAAAGTTGTGCAGATGTGGTGGCCTATACATTCTGAAGATTCTCAACTTAAGAAGAGTCACTGATTTGTCATGATTTTCTGTTATTAGGAGAAGCAGCCCTTGTCTGTGGTACAGTCAGCACAGAAGCTGAGACAGTCGACAATGAAGCCCAGCCAATTCCAACAGGTGAGCTCAGGCAGTTCTTTAACTATTTTTATATTTTTATTTATTATATATGTATTAATACAGTATTATGATAAACTGCTTTTACTGTTAAGCTGCTAATAACAATGAGTTCTATCTAAACAATAACATTGAATGAAGTGAATTACTGCTTCAAATTCAAGGCAGCCTGGAAAGTGCAGTTGACCCTCTTTTTATTTTCTCGTAAACTTCTGATAATTCATGCAGCTTTGTTTCACTTTTTGTACAGATGACACAGTAGACACCCCCACCCTCCTCCTCTTCCGCATCACTTGTGACAACGAGAAACTTCTCAAGTTCTTGCCAAGAGGAAGGATCAAGAAGGACCGACGAGACCACGTCACCATTGGCCGACGTGAGACAAGTGACCTGAGACTGAACCACCCTCAAGCGTCAAGAGACCTGGTGCACATCACACCCACAGTAGACCTCTCCTCTAACTTCTCTTTCACTATACAGAACGTAGGTAGCAAAGGGCTTTCCGTTAACAACACAGTATTGCGTAAGGGGGAAGAAAAACCGTTGACCACTGGTTCAGTGATTAAGCTAGATTTGCTCAACGTAGAAATCACATTAGAGATTATATCAGGAGATGATGAAAAGGTATATGAAGTCCAGTTCACTCACATAAATCAGGATAGGCAGGCTCCGGCAAATAACCACAACAGACTAGCAGGTCAAAGTCAGGAACAACAGCCCTCGTCAAATTCGACGTCTGAAGACCAAAACATCCCTGTTTGCGAGAAACGTTGCACAGACGACAGTCCTGAGCAAAATGAGCACCTGTGTGGTAAACACGTTCAGCCCCCCCTCCCCCAGTGTCCTCCAGTGGAACGTCCACAGTGTACATGTACAGCGCGGGCAAATTCAGTTCCGAAGCAGGCATCAGTAGAGTCAGTTCATGAGCTGCTCAAACAAGTGTCCTTAGAGGCATCATTCGGCAGTGGGTCTGCCACCCAGGTTGTTCTCATGGGGAGTAACATTGTTCTGAACATGGGAGGTCAGGGTTCGGATACTCCGCCACAGGGCCTGCCAAACACGGCAGACTCCGGGAATGGTGAGGTGACAGCCATGCAGGAAAGTGGGGAGGGGGGCAGCCAGTCAGCAGAAGAGGGGAATCCTATTCAGGAAACAGAAGAGGGGGGCTCAGGTAGCCAGTCAGTAACGTCACCTGAAGAGGGTAGTCCCATTCAGGACACAGAAGAGGGGGATTCTTCAAGTAGTCAGCCAGTCATGTGCACAGATGAGGAGAGTAAGACTAATATCCAAGAGGTTGGAAACGTAGAGTCAGCATGCCCAGTAGAGCATGATGATAGAAATGCACATGTTTCAAAGACATCCGAAAATGTTGCAAGGTCTGATAATGGACACCAAACAAAAGATGATGGCACTGTGGACACTCCAACAAAACTGACCCTGACGATCCACAGTAGCAACCCAGGGTTGAACCTCCAGTATCCAAAAACCATAATCGAGAAAAGGTCCGACAAGCCTTTCCTTATAGCTAGGCATGAGAACTCAGATATCCTAATAGATGACAAACGTGTCTCTCGTGAGCACATGCAGATCGAAGCCGTCAGCACCCAGACAGGATTCGGTTTCCAACTGAGGAAACTGAAGAAAAATAAGATTGTCCGTGTTGATGGGCAACCTGTCAATGCTGAGATGCCAGTCAAGCTGAAATCTGGCAGCAGGATAAGTCTTGAGTGTCTTGAGCTGCCAGAATCACCGGCAGTCACGGTCGAGTTTGGGGTCAAGGTGGATCCCGGAGATGCCGCAGATGTTTATGAAGTTTTGGTGAAGAAAAAGTGATGGACATTGGTCAAAACTCTTCACCAGAAGAGTCCATAAGTATTAAGTTTTGGGGAAGGAATAGTGATAAACTTTTCACCATGAAAGTACCATGTTTTGAAGAAGGAATAGTGATAAACTTTTCACCATAAAATTCCCACAACTGAAACTGCTGACTCTTCTAAGGCATCATGAGACTGAGACAAAACAAACATTTCACCCATATGTGTTAGAGGTTTTGTACTTTTGAGTTTGTTCTGTTCTGTGCCAAAGTTTGACTTATATGTTTCGTAGGAATTTGAATTTGTGTACATTGTGGAGCTAATGGTGTGCTTTTTTTGTGAATTTTATTTATGGCCAAATGTTCTTTTCTATATTTAATATACATTTTGTATATAACAGTCACTCACAACATAAGTGTCTAGGACTCAAAAGACAGTGTGTTATGAATTCTCTATATCTCTTTAAAAAACAACTATTGATACAATAACATGAACAAAAGATCTTAATGTCTTTGTTGTGAATTCTCTTTTAATTCTAGAAAACATCATTGATAATATCATAACCAGTATTTTGCAAATGCAGCATGTACAGCAGTGTGTCAAAAATATCTTTGGTACAGTGAATCTATTTGTTTACACATAACAGTTAGTACCTTCAGTTTGATCAGTTCAGCTAACACACCATACAATGTATCTTAAGCTAATAATTATTAAAATAGGTAATGCATAGATCAATGGTCAAAAGCTCTTAAAAACCACACCATTTTATGTCAAAATACATGTAACATCAATTCACATAATTCTGCTAGGTACTTTTAGACCTCTACATTAAAAAAGAGGCCTTCTGTAGCATATCTAACACCTGGATTAGGCTGGAAACTGATGCTGCATTAGTACTAGTAGACCACTTTGACTTCAGAGTCAAGTAGAATTATGAAAGGTGATGTTTTTCTATCAATAGTAGGGGTGGCACACACCAATTGGAACCCATAAGTATGGACTATAGTTAATTCATCGTTGAATGCCCTCAGTCTTAACTGGTAAGAATTACTTTTGATTCAGAATGACTGTACAAAATAAAAGTCCTGCCTGACTTCTTTTGCAGTGCAAGTTGCAGTTCTTTGTGTGAGAGATTGATGGACAAAAATCAAACAATACTAAATAATTCAAAGTTTCTCCTAGCAATTCAACAAATGTCTTTGCAGTCCACTGCATTTCATGAAACAATACATGGGGATGTATAAAAAAAAACAAGTCTTTGGAAGTATAAATAAAAGTTCAAAATGTACCTCACAATAGACAGAATTGATCTCATAAGCAATCCAAAATTGTCCAGGCTAATATTAACATTCTGCTGTGGATTTCTAGTACCATGCCTACATGTAACAAACCTAAACTGTACAAGTAAGGTAAACTTACCACACCTTGTGAACCTAAACGTGCTGAATTTCACCCCTTTTTATGTGTCTGTTTTTAACTAGCAGTTCGGTCAGTGTATATTCAACACAGCAGCCATACTAGCACAATCTGCTCAAGGTTTGAAAAAATTATTGTATTGTCAATGCCCAAAACTATACCATGGTTTGCTTGGAGTGGCTGTACAATTTGAGTCTTCTAGATTAGGGAGATGGGTACGTCTGTGTCAGGGTCGGGCCCTGAGTTGGAGGACCCCGTAGACTTGGACATCTGCTCAAAAAACATGATCTGCCTAGCGACGCTGCGCTTCGGAAGTGACTCCTTCGCAGGGGTGACAGAATCAAACTTCTGCTGGAAGCCGACGTCTTCTTCGCTTTCCGTCCTCGTCGTTTTGCTGCCCTGCGCGGGAGTCACGTGCACTGTCAGCCCAGAGTCGCTAGGTGGCGTGTCGTTTTTGGTTGGGGTGAACTCGATGCGAGGGCCGTCCTCCTTGGCTTGTGGCGTCTGAAATGCGGGTTGGTGCACCTGCTTCATGGATACATTCTGTACCCTCGGAATGGAGTAGCTGTAATGAACAAAAAGAAAGAATAGGAGTGAAATGTTGGAAGAACTAAGTGGTTGATACAAGCTTATATTGATATAGTGGTGGTTACGTAAGTTCTTTTTAGACAGCATGTGGCCTTTTAGTACATGTATAAAGAACTTAATCATTAGCTAGAATGACCATCATAATGCTGACAGACACAATTGCATAGTCCCTTGCAGCTTGATCAACTCTACAACAGTTTAGCTGCTTTCTTAAACTATCTTTAATGTTGTAAAAAATGGTCTTCCGTGCAGTATAAATAAACACCGGGATGTGCCTGTCCTTGGTGCTGAATTCTGTATCTAAAGTTGTGCCTATTAACCTCAACTGAAATTTTGCTGAATCAAAAGTGTCTTCTGGGCTTTCTTGTTCATCAAACAGCTAATAGTAAAACACCACTTCTGGTCACAAAGAAATGCATTAAAAAAACTCGGTATTCACCTCTTCAATCTCTACAACAAGGAAAATGGAAACAATCCTTCATATCCACCCCCCCCCCCTCCAGTCTACTCAAATGACCTGTGTTAACTTTTTGACTTCTATTGTCAGTGGCTGAAGAAAGATGGTGGATGGAAGAAAGATGGTGGATGCTGTCTGACAGCCTCTAGGCCTTTACGTCAGTAAGTACTAGTTCTAAGTCCTTCCAGTTATAATCCTGCAACTGATTGTTAACAGCATGCATTCCTCTAAACAGTAATCAACACATAACCCTACAAACTCTCCGCACAGCAACATAACTTGTATTCAACTCTCTCCACATGCAATACAGAGGGATCCCTATGGGGACCATAGTGTGCATGTGCACAATAAGTATGGTGGGAAGCCATCCACCTGCTATCCACCGTCCAAAACGCAAGTCACGGCACGTGCATCCCCTGACCTACGTGAGTCCTGTATGTAGAACCTTGTATAGGCAAATGACATTCTTCCCACACACCATTTCTGAGTGGAACTCTCTGCCAGTAGAGATAGCCACCGCCCCTACTCAGACATCCTTCAAGGATAAGGTGGCCCACCTACACTAAGTGCTCAACATTGAACTTCAGACCAAACACCTTAAACCAACACCAACAACTGCAGTTGACTTCCTGACCTATCCAGTGCAGCAGATTCATCGACAAGACGATGTTGGCTGCCTATACCAAAGAAGAAGAAGAAGAAGCCATAGATCTAACACTGACCTGGCCAGGCGCACGGGTGAGCTATCCGCTGACGACGTCTCCGTGACATGATGCACCTGAGCCGCCACGTGCATCCTCCTGGAGGGCGACATCACCCTTCCTGTCACCGTCCTCACCGGAGAAGAGTCAGAACTGTCGTGAAACGCGATCCACGGACGCTCGTTGTTCAAGGATCCTCTCCCAGAGGAAGAGTTCTGCTCCTGCTGCGGACTCTCGGCTCTCGGAGAATCCAAGCCCAGCACGTCTTCCGCACTCTCCTCCGGGATGCTCCCCCCCGGGGACATCAGCTGGACAGGTCGGCCGCCGCCGCGGTACTGGGACATTTTTGGGTTCCTCTGATCCGGTCGCACAAGGGGATTGTACACCTCATCCCTTTGTGGACTGGCGTCGGGCGGAAGAACCGGCGCTCTCCCACGCTTTCCCGCCATTTCTGGGTGACTCGTGCGATCGACGTATTCTCTGTACGTTGGCTCAACAGGGGTGTCTTCTTCAGCAGTTACCCAGTTGCTGAGGGGCTGGGCCCGTCCAGGGTAGACTGGATTAGCTGTGCCCAACCCTGTGCTGTCTTCTCCCTCGTCGTTATCGTAAGGGTAGCCTTCATGTCTGATGAGATGGGACGTCTCCTCATCTGTGTCAGAACAGAGACATGACGATAAGAGGTTGCTGTGAAAATAAATCACTGCTAAAGTTCCTGCATTTACCGTAATGAAATTATATGTTGGATATTATCCAAATTCTGCAAGATTACAAAGTGTTCTAGCCAGCTTGAAATTTTTTTCCACCATCTCAATTTTGTTTTTTGTTACATCATGTTCGAGCCTTCTGGCGCAATGATCCTAGGACCCTCTGGAACATAATTTCCTGCATTTTGAGGGGCAAATTCTGCTGGTAGACTAAGCTTACTTCAATGACACTTCTATCCATGTCTTTTCACACTATTTTTTGTGCGTCAAAGATGACAGATTGGGCAAAATTATTGCCCGTCAAGAGAGCCGAAATTCCATCAAATAGATGGATGCTGGCTAGAACGTAACACTGATCTGTACGCAAATATATACAAAATTATAATTTTGTATGGCTCTACCATCCTGTAGATCGTCCTCATATGTCTGTACTTGTACGTTTCTCTGTGGGGAGTGTGACTGGGTCCTTCTGGTCTTGTCTCTTCTCTTCTTGTCCTTGTGTTGAGCCCTGTGGGTGGAGTGACTGCGAGGCTTGTGGTGGTGGGTATCTGGACGCTCAAACACAATCTCTGTTGTAGTCTGTTTACGGAGGAGTGGCTCTCTTTTATGTGGAGACCTGCAGGGATATAGAATCTTGTCTTTGGGCTTTACCAGATACCAACTGCCTCCATATGTGATGCTCTGAATTACCCTGATTTTTACTGAGGGAAATGTGATGCATTGTTTAAACAAGTAAAAACTTTTGTTCCAATACAAAGAAGTTTGATCACCTAAAGCTTTCGACCAGTCACTCTCACTGGCTGGTCTTCCTCAATAGACTGACCCAGTGAGACTTGTCACATGACTTTAAAAGTATGTGATACTAGTATGTTGTTGTACAGCAATGTATAATATTATATGATAACAGTTACTAGTAATGTAACAGAATAGGTTACCAGACTGTACATGTCTGTTAAATTGGAAAGATGATTGCAGACCTGGAAGAGTTGTGAGAACTGTGTCCCTGTAGGTCCTTGACCTGTCTCTTGTACGGTGACCTTTGCCCTCTGTCCCTGGCCCTTCCCCGGTTCCAGGACTGGTTATAGTGATGAGGGTCCCTCACAACCTCAACTGTAGCTCTCCTGGGAGAACCTAGAGACATGGACAGTAATAATGTAGTTAGTAACGTTGTAACGTTGTTTCATTCAACACAATAGACAATTGCTCACCTTGAATTTTCAGTTGCACATTCTTCAGGAGTGATTCTAAATCATTCCATACCTTGTACTTGTGACCTTAAGGACATGCGACTCGCGTAATGAATTGTATTTAACAGTAATGTTAAACGATATTGGCCCCCGTCTCGGTTGAGTAACGGCTGGTTGGCTCTAATATATTGTAAATTATGGAATGTACCGACAAAGATGAGTTTTCATGCTAACTAAAGCATGGAAAGCCATTAATATTGAGATTTGTGCTCTTGGTTTTGGCTAACACCTATGCACACTTTGGCCATGCCACTCTTTGCTGTAATACTATTCCCAAGTAAACAATAAGGAATTTGAATAGGGCAAGATTAAAAGAGCGGAAAACTTGACTCTGACTATATCCCCACTTCTTACCCATCCTGTGCTGTCTCCTGTCAGGAGTATTATGTGATGACAAGGTGCTATCCGGGATCTCCATCAGAATGGCTTTCTCCAGCCGGTACAGGGGGTTGGACTCACTGCTCTTCCTTCTCAAGTGGTGGGGGGAGGGGTTCCTTGGGCGGGGTAGAGGACTTTCTGCTGGACAAAAAGTCAATGTTTGGTCCAAACATATCGGTAACAATCGTATGGCAGAATAACGGCTAGATAGAAATATGGCAATACTTAATATACATACATTGTACAATAATGTGAGGATGTGATCATAATAATGAAGACATTGGCATTTCTGGAAAGCATGTCACTTGATATTTCAGATGATGTGTAAATAAAGGCTGCAAAACACATGATAATTTATCGCAGCATTCACTATAAAAATAGTGTTAGCATTTAGTAGGGTGTTAAAAAATTCAAATTTAGAAGCTTTTGAATTAGAATTGTAAGCAATCTAGAAATTGAAGGATTTGTAGACTTACATGTACATGGAATTTCTAAGGGCAATCACGTACTATGTTAGATGGACTATGAAGGGAACCATGCAATTCTGCATAGCTGTTAGTAATACCACATGTCATGCAGTTGTTTACAGGGAACAAACCTGCATGATCAGGGGCAGGGTTGGGCAATCAAAAATCTGTGTTAGATAGTCTACTAGTACTATTAACACTCACAGTACATGTATGTGTACTGAAGAGTCAACCATGCAGGTCTGTATCTGTTAGTAATACCACATGCAGTTGTTCACAGGGAACAAACCTGCATCAGGTGCAGGGTTGGGCACCCCCGCACAGTACAGGTGATCGACCACCGAGTTCCACAACATGGCCGCCCGAACCGCCATCTCGTTAACCGGCACGCCGCCCTTACCCGACCCAGACTGTACATGTGCTGGGGGCACGGCTGAATCACACATAACAACAACACTCAAGGTTTATCCAAACTTGTCAGCCCTAAACATGCCAAGTAGTAGCTTATTACCTATCAACATTCATAAAATATACTACTAAAATATCTGTACCATAATTTAATAGTATACATAAAATGCAAAAAAAGTCTACATAAAAAAAATTAATGTGCAGTTCAAGAAATAGACAAAACAAAGTGACAAAATACAACATGTATGTAAATCATTGTGACATCACATGCATGACTTTTTAACAAGGAAGCTGAAAATATGCTATATAAAAGAAGCAACTGTTCTGCACACTCCAAATTGAATGAAAATACACAATGGCCAAATTCAACAAACCTTTGTTTTCGTGTCTCTTCACGGTCGACCGTTGCTGCTTGATTGGTGATGGTCCGATGTGAGAATCTTGGAAAGGAATGGTGACTGCCCTCCCATGACCTGTACCTGAAACAAGGTAGGCTGTATAAGCCTCACAGTTACTTCCAAGGAAGAGGTAAAAAAATGAAAATTGAAAGTAAAATCAAAGAAAAAGGAAAACCAAACTAGATAGATACAGCACAATGTAAAAAAAATCAAATGATAGAAAGCAAATTAACTCAAAATAGTAAAATAATAGTACTTAAGATTTTGCAAAAATAGGAAATAGGAAAGTTAACTTATATCCCATAATATAACAGTATAGTACATGTAGTATTATTTATGACCTATAGACTGAACTGCCAAAGCTATGCCCTTTTGTACATGTAATTAAGAGCCTCAAGATCAGTACAGATGTCAGCTTGTTATTGTTGATATCTTTGCCCACTAGACGTGTAGTATTCAAAAACCTACCAGAAGCCACTATTTCAGGATCTGTACCTCTCCTCTGGTCGGATGCTCGGGGAGGGGGGCCATGGGGAGACATGGGTGTTGGCTCTGCAAAACCATAACGGAACAATTTGATTTTGCACCTATTATTTTATCATTGTAAGGAGACTTGTATACGACAACTGTTCAAGGGTTCAACCCTTCATATTTCTGTGTACTCTAAGAATAACACATGACACGCTTAGCCACCTTAACAGCAGAAAATCACCCTTTCTTCCTCAATAGTCCATCAGTCAAGAGAAAATTTCATGCTGACAGTTTCTTCCCCAGAACCACTTCACTGTGGAACAAGCTTCCCCGTGAATGTTTCACCGCTAATTACAACCTCCAACGGTTTAAATCAAGGGTGAACAAATATCTGACCACGCAGTCATCACTGTAACCCAAAACATGTAAGTGGCTCTCACGAGCCTTGTTTTGAGGTGAATCTGAAGTAAATTAAAAAAAAAAAGCTAAATCTTAATCGATCTCTTTAATAGCATCTGGAACATGCACTGTGATATCCAGGCGTTCAGGGTTAATTCATGGGGAGATCCTTGACTTCTTTCCTCAAAAAAGTTGACTGAAAGTCAAGTTGAAGTTGGTGTACAGTTCCATACCTTCCTCCAGGTCTAGCAAGTCCCCATCGCTCCTGCGCCTTGAGAGTGTGCCAGGTGGGCTGCAGGTGTCCACAGGTGGGCTGTAGGTGTCCACAGGTGGGTTGTAGGTGTCCACAGGTGGGCCATGTTCTGTCAGCAGACCTATGGAGAGGGGGAAATCACTTAGACATGGTCCAACCGCACAGTGGGAGGGGGGTGTAATATTATACCATACTGGATAAAACTCACCTGTTATTCTACCAATTTGAAAGCAGTCGGGACTATAACGTGCTAGAAAAAGATGCATTAGGATTTATGGCTTATGTTGTGCTGCAAACCATTTTTTTGCTGTGACATTTTCTCTATGAAAGTGGCATATTCCTAATTCAATGCTTCAGATGTGCAATTGCTTGTATCCCTTTTTGTGATCACTACAACAACATGTCAATAAGTATACCTGTTGGTGACCTGGAGACATCATTTTCCCTGTTATCTTGTGGAGACAGAATGGATTGTCTGCGAGGGACTGGGATGGGGACTGCACATGGGGGAGATGTTTGTACATGAGTCCTTACATCGTACCTACCTACCTTGTTTACATCACTAACATTACAGTTATAACGGCTTAAGAATTCGCACTTCAACCCATACAATCATATATTTTGCATTACATCTTAGGCCATGTTGATTTGATTATATGGATGACATCCGCGCGCGCATGAATTTTCGGCCCTTTCAACAAAAAAAAAAGTTTTCAACCATACTGTAAAATCGTACAAAACAGTTGCAAAATGAGCAAAAATATATTGTAAGTTACAAAAAAACCATACCAATGTCGTAGAATGCCAAAACCAAACGAAAGACGAAATTGTAAAGAAATGAACTTGAAGACTAGATTATTCGCCAAACCATATTCTGTCCCATTTGTTCAACCCTCATGACCACGTTGATTTCATAATGAAAACAACTTTTTTTTTGCAAAACTTTTTTTTATTCGCACGCGCGCATCAATTTTGGGGTTCCCGGAGGATGTCATCCATATAATCAAATCAACATGGCCTTATTTTAACTTCAAAAGATGTCTACAAGAGAGCTCTAGTGGCTCGCGAGTTTTAGCCTACAAATGTATAAGTGACAGTTACCTACAGGTACTGTAGTGAGTGTGAATTTTTTGAAAGCTTAATAATAATCTTTGGTTATTTCACAGTAATAAAATACCATTAAAGTCACATCTCTTTACAGCACTGAGCCTTACCCGGTAAAACTGGCAACGAAATGAAGCAAAGATAAACTTAGGCCATGTTGATTTGATTATATGGATGACATCCTCCTGATGCGCGCGTGCGAATAAAAAAATTAAGTT